TCGAGAATCGGTCCAAGCCACAAGGTTGATATCTATTTGATACTTACCTCTGAGTTTATAAAGTGTTTATTGGTGCCAACAACAAAATGAATTTGTTACAGTATGATCAACTAGGGTTGAGACTGCTCGGTGAGTTGCCTTGGCTGCCAATGAAAGCCTGGCCCCATAGGCCTCACCCATGGGTCCTCGTGGGACCATATGTACGCGTTAGACAAAACCAATCATCGCCAGATTCAGGTTCCGATCTCGACGCTTATCATCCGTTCGCGATCATGTAACACAAGCAGCTTTTGATCTATGGCGTCGGATCCTTCAGCATCCAAGAAACGTCGTATAGACTCACTGGAAGACTCTCCAAGTCCCGGCGAGCACTTGGAAGAACCCGTCGACGAAAAGTGGACCAGACAACAAGATCTATATTTCGAAGATGCCACAATAGTCCTACTATCTTCCGATGGAGTTCTTTACCGCGTATATAGAGGCCTCCTTTCTACCACTCTGACATCTTCAAGGGCATGTTTTCCCTTTCTCCTCATCAACCTGCCCAAGCGGAGAAATACGACGACTGCCCCCTGATCCGACTCACGGACAACTCCGATGAACTGGTTTATTTTTCGAAAGCAATAATGCACTCAGAGTATGTTTGTTTTCCGAGTCTATTCTGAGAAAGTATTTGACTGGCTAGTATATTTTTTGTCAAACCTAGTTATGCCGATGATAGCCAGTCTATGAACCCCAGAGCAATGGCGCCTATCCTTCGCTTCTCCAAGTATTTTGTTCAATTCATGAGGCGCCGCATGTGGTTAAGGTTCCGTCGGACGAGCTGTCATGGTTCCAAAATGAAGGGTCTCAAAAAACGTTCTCGAACGATCTCCCAAAGTATACACTCGTGGATCTTTTTCGGGAATGCAATGGTCTTTCTTCCAATGCTATTATATTATCTTTCAAGGCGACCCGCAAAGATAGGTGACCTTCTTCCAACGGCTACAGGGATTTGCAAGGGTATTAACTTGACGGATTCTAGGATACTTTTAACTGCCAGGGAAGAAATAACCGCCAAAATCCCAATGGTCTATGCCCAAATGTATTCGTAATCTGCTTCAAATTGTTTTCATGGTCTTAACTGTTACACGGCGAAGATGGGGTCATTTTCAGCAAACTGCTATCCATTCGTAGCGAGGATGTTTGGGGAACATCTCAAGAAACTTTGGGAGGATCTACCTTCAATCTTTAATCTTCCACCCTGGGAAACAATGTTAAAAGACCTACAATTCTAGATATACCATCATATATATCACATATTTTGTGCGCTTTTGATCTAGAAACACCGTATAATATTGATGTTCTGTAATACTGTAAATAAATCCTTTTTTGTGCCTGCCTTCGAGGGATTTTCAGATGGGACGGAGTTGGTAATGACATTGAGACACTCTGTAGAGAGTAAGCGAACTGACTGCCCTTGACTGGCACTGCTCGGCGCCTTGCAGTGCCATCCGATGAGGAAACTGCTCTGTAGACATGGGTCACTATTGATTCATGTGGGACTATGTGTACGCGTTACACCCAATCATTGCGCCATCATTAACTCAAGTGTCATAACCCCCAAAAGACTATCTATCAGGGATCAACCGACCTCTTGACCACGAATGTCAGTTTATTTCTACACATGAACTCAGGTCCTTCGGCATCCAAAAAACGGCGTATAGAATGGGAAGGGTGTTCGGATGGCGAGGAATCCCTCGAGAGAAATTGGACCAGGTACCTGATCTGTATTTTCGAGATGGAATCACAGTCCTGTTACCTTCCGACGAAGTTCCTTTCCGTATATACGGAGGTCTGCTATCTACCCACTCGGAAATTTTCAAGGGCATGTTCTCCCTTTTGCCTCACCAACCTGCTGAAGTGGAGAAATATGACAGTTGTATTTTGATCCGCCTAATGGATCCGTCCGATGAATTGTGACATCTCTTGAAAGCAATCCGAGTACGTTTATGATCTTTTCAAATAAAGCATTTTCCTTACTAAGATATGTATCTTCGTAAATATTAGTTATGTACCCGATGACAGCCAGCCGATGGACTCAAAAAGCATTGGCAGCTATCCTTCGCTTATCCTCAAAGTATTTTGTTCGATTCCTGCGGTGGCGCATGTAGTCAAGATTCCATCGGGCGCTCCCCACTACATTTAACGACCTCAAGTCGAAGTTCAAAAGCGAAAGGTTCCGAGAAGTTTTCTCAGACGGGATGATTTTCCTAAAGTATTCACTTGTGAATCTTTTCTGGGAATGTGATACATGGACCTTCCTCCCAATACTCCTGTTTCATTTTTCGCTAAACACCCGGAAAACAGGCGGTCTTCTTCCAACGGGCATATACAAGGTTATTACCTCAATGGATTCCGGGATGCTTTTGAATGCCAGGGAGATTATAACCACCGCATTTCCCGTGACATGTGCTGCAATTTATGCATCAACCGCTAAAGACTGCATTCATGCCGAGAAATGCTCAGCATTGGAGAGGCTGAACACGGCCAATGTCGTTTGTTCCCTAAATTGTCCAAGGATATTTTGACGGACCGTCCACCAAATGAATATCAGCCCGGTAGCGGACTCTGTATTTACTGTCATAAACACCAGGAGAATATCATACAGACGCACGGCAAAAAACAGCGGGTCATACTTCCTTCATTATTCGATCTAGCACCCCGGGAAACGCTGCTAAAAGAGCTAGAATTCTGAGAAATATACGTCGAAAGTTTTGTATATCATCAGGTACAGCCTATACGGTTCTGTTTCTCAGGAGAAAGGCCCTGATGTAACATGAGCTGTAACTATTACACGATTCTTTTGAAGATATCTTGCTTGACAATATTTGCTTCGCGCACATTTAAACCTACTAATATTATTGTCTTTTTAGGCTTAAAACCGCTGACTTTGACGGGACTGCACGTGAAATCAACAATGTATTTATAGTCGTCGGTTTAGTAGCTCGGTCGGTGAAATGTCTGCTTAACATGCAGAAGGTCGTCGGTTCAAGTCCGGTTCAGATCATATTTTTTCCTAGTTTTCTGCTCTAGCTATTCTTTTATCTCTCGTTTCTCTCCTACGATAAAGTAAGCTGAAATCCTCCCTTCCCAGCCAAAATTATCCTTTGACTAAAGTACAATCTGCAGGGTGGTAAGCTGCTGCATAAGCATATGGGGAGACCATTGTATATCCTTGTGGGACCCTATGTACGCGTACAACTCCACAATTTCGCGTTCATCA